TTTTAAGTGGTCTTGAATTTGACACGTGAGTGAATAAAGGTTTATGTCCGTCTTGCAACCTGTAATAATCACTACAAGAAAAATGCTAATTGCCTACATTTTATTTTTTGCGTTTGTACCAAACGCCAGCCAGCTATTCTTTTGGGTTTTTACTGGCTATACTTTAGTGGCATTTGGCAAAACGCAGGTGGATTCTTGCGTTTTATTTATTAAACGCAGGGAATTAATTAAAAAAAAAAGGGTTGAAATAGCACTAAATCTAATAAAAAAGCGAAGCAGGGAATTGGAAAATAATTTATGGTTGAGTTCTAGAATGCATTTTCCCCAAACATGAATTTTTGTTTCCTCCAACCATTTCTCCACGAGCTCATTTCAGATTAAGATTCCGATTCCGATTATCCTCATTTCTGATTTCATTTTGATTATCCTTCAATTCAATTTGTTGCTGTTATCATCGAGTATTATCACATCATGGATTCTGTTTGTGGATTTTAGACTCGCTGTAATCGTAGCAATCGATGGGTGTCGAAGGGGAAGACAGAAGCAGAAAATGATGGTGTCTCGTCCCTTCGACGATGATGGCTACATTGGCTACGATCCTCGCCCTCCGTCTCAGCGATTTGACTCGTGCTCCAACTTCGACGTTGGCTCAGTCAAGGACTCAGTCTGTGACTCGCCGCCCATATTGAGCAGTCAATCATACAACTCTAGAGATGACGTGTTCATATCTTAGCCGCTTCTTGAGACTCCGTCGCCGCCACCAATCGGTGGCGGTAGTGGTGGATTCTCGAAATTCTCAGCTGAGGAGAACGGAAAAATCTTGACAGCAGTGTTTTGGTAACCAAAAAGCAGTGAAAAGCCAAAAAAAAAAAAAATTCCTGTATTTAGGCAAATACCAAAAATAAGCCTTGCTTTTGATAAAAAAATGCAGGCAAAGACATCAATAATTTGGGACTTTTGACATGGGCATTACCTGCGTTTCTTTGAGTGATTGCGTTTTCAATAAATGCAGAAGAAAATAAGTTTATACATGTGTTTGCTTTAAATGCAGGGATTATATTTACCGGCACGGTCCACACCAGCGTTTGTGTGGCGTTTGTGCAAATGCTGGTAGCCTTTTTACTTGCATTTTTAAACGCAGGTAAATATTTAAACAAATGCAGGGAATTGATCTTTTTCTTGTGGTGAATATATAAGAAATAAAAGTTATGATTGTATACTTACCCGACATTGTAATGCACTTATATAATTATGAAATATTGTTTATATATATATATTTTTTTTGGGCTAATGAAAATTTTATTAACTAATCAAGTTTTACAAAAATGATTTGATACACAATATACAACCATTGCAATTATGAAGAAAAAAGATGAACAAAACTAGGGGATTAAATTAACAGAAACATAAGTTTTTCATGAAAACGTCATACTTGATGAGTGTATCAATCACTCCATTTGCTTCCCTATAAACATGTTGGACAATCATCAGATCAAACTCCTGGATCAACAATAGGTGGGAGACAACTAAAGTTTTATGAGACTTTTGAGCAACATAGACATCATTCAAAAAGTCAACAAGAAGGAGTGAGTCTGCATCAATTTCAATATGCTTGAATCCTAAGCTCATGGCTATTTTTTATATGACTGTCTCTTTATATTTTAGATTTATGCATAAACTAATATATATTTATACATTTATATTACAATATTATTGCAAACTTACAATATCATATCTTATGTTTGTTGGGAAAAATTAAGAGAAATATAACTCCCAAAAGCATAATAAAATAATGCGAACCAAGTTTTTTAAAACAGGCTCTCATCGACGATGAACTACTGAAGCTAAGACAAAAATTGCTCTTGTTTTTAAACTACTGTGGCCTGCATTTTGTGTCACGTACCTGCAAAATTTGTAATCTTACATAATAGTAACAGCTGTTTATTTGTTTAATGGAAGACAGCTAAGGAGACTGAGATGGTCACTTATGAGGAGTGAGTTAGGGAGAAACATACTAATGTCAGTAATGTGGCAGTGAACCCGCATTTGATTACGGTCTTCCAACGTGGAGCAGGTATGTCATTTTCCAAGTCATCTTCTTCCGTCTAGACTGGGTTGAATTGCCATTATACTGCCATGATCATCTTTAACTTTAAGCAATCAAGTCAGGCTGCCTTGCTGCCTGGAATTTACGGTGCGTTTATGGACAGTGATAGAATGTATAGAGATGCTTTTGATGGAAATATTATAACTTGTAAATAACGCTTAACAATTAATATCTCTTATGTGTCAAGCCATGTGGGTTGAAATTAGTGCTAATTTTTTGGAAGAATGCAGAAAAGTAAGCCACTAAAGGCCAAGTATTTGTGCTGTCATGATAATCTTTAACATTCAGCAATCAAATCAAGTTGCCTTGCTACCCGGATTATAGGGTTTATGGATGGTGGTAGAAATATGCTCTTCTGTTTCCAAATATACTGAATGTATATATCTTGTGAATACAATTTTGTCTATAAAAGCTCTGCACTATTGTGCATGACTTTCTATAATTAATTTCCACAAGTTCGAAACCAACATACCCAAAGAAATCATGGCTTCACTCTTAATTCGCTTCTTTCGTGTAAACTTGCTTTTCTTGATGATCTCTTTCTTTCAACTATCTTTGCAACAACCATTGTGTCATAAAGACGAGCGTCTTGCCCTAATGCAATTCAAAGACAATTTTGTCATTGAAAGGCATGCATCTGTTGATCCGTTTGCTTATCCTAAAGTTGATCTCTGGAAATCTCAAGGGATTGATTGCTGCTCTTGGGAGGGCATTCGGTGTGACCTGTATACTGGTCATGTCACAAGTCTTGATCTTAGTAGCAGTTGTCTTTTTGGTTCTATCAATTCCAACAGCAGCCTCTTTCACCTTAGTAATCTTGAATACCTCAACCTTGCCTTCAATGACTTCAATTACTCTAAGATACCATATGCTTTAGGTAATCTTTCCAGGTTAGCTTATCTCAACCTCTCTTATTCTTTATTATTTGGTCAAGTACCGAAGGAAATTTCAAAACTCTCCAAGTTAGCTACGCTTGACCTGTCTTTCAATCTTGATTCTTCATATCAAGGATTGTTGGAACTCAAAAACCCTGATTTAAACAGCCTAATTCATAACTTCACTAGGTTAGAACACCTTGACCTTTCTTTTGTTAATATAAAATCTCCAATTCCAAGTGTGCTTGCGAATCTGTCATCATTGACATTTCTCTATCTCACTAATTGTGGATTGTTTGGAAAGTTTCCCAAAGCTATCTTCCAACTATCAAAACTTGAGTATCTTAATGTGAGGGACAATTGGGGTCTTACCGGTAGTTTGCCTGAATTTCACTTTAGCTATCCACTTAAGGAATTATCAGTTGCTAACACTGGTTTTTCTGGTGAGTTTCCAGCATCATTTGGGCGTCTTAGCTCTTTAGAATATTTGAAAGTTAGAAATTGCAACTTTTCAGGATTATTGCCATCTTCACTTTCAAATCTCACTGAGCTCACTAGATTTGACATCTGTAATAATTCCTTCAAGGGATCAAAGGCTCCTTTTTTATCAAACCTCACACAACTAACAATTGTATGTCTTGGTTGGAATCAGTTCACTTTTAGTGAGATCCCTTCTTTTGCTAGCTTGACTCATCTCCATGTGTTAGACCTTTCCTTTAGTCATATCCCCGGTCAATTTCCATCTTGGCTTGTGAACTTAACCCAATTGACATATTTGTGTCTTCGCAATAATATGTTAGAAGGGTCACTACCAAGCTCAATTTCTACACTCAAGAACCTAGAAGCATTTGATGTTGGATTTAACAACTTGAGTGGAATAATGGAGTTTCAAACATTTTTTGGGCTTAGAAATCTTAAATATTTGCTTTTATCCTATAATACTTTTTCATTGTCAACCAAAACCATTGTTAATAGCACAATTCCAAAGTTTGCAAGGCTAGAACTAGGTTCATGTAATCTAAGAGAGTTCCCGGACTTCTTGCATAGCCAAAATCAGCTTAGTATCCTTGATCTTTCATCCAACAATATTCCTGGCCATATTCCTAAATGGTTGTTGAAAATGAGTGCACACTTGTGGTGGTTGGATCTTTCTAATAACTCTTTGACAAGTTTCGAAGAATCCTCTTTTGTCATTCCTTCTAGTCTATCCTTTCTAAGCCTTAGTTGGAACTTTCTCACAGGGTCTCTACCCATTCCATCAAGTTCCCAACTCATCCTCTACAATGTGGCAAAAAATAAATTTAGTGGAGGAATCCCACCCACATTTTGCAATATGAGTTCTCTAGTGTTTCTTGATCTGTCTCATAATAACTTGAGTGGAATTATACCACAATGTCTGGGCAACGTCAGCAAGTCTTTATGGTTTTTGAATTTGGAAGAAAACAATTTCTATGGTTCCATTCCTGAAACTTGGGAAATTGGAAATGAACTCAAGATGATTAAATTGGGACATAATAATTTGCAAGGAAAGTTGCCAAGATCAGTGTCCAATTGCAAAATGCTAGAGTATCTTGATCTTAGTAACAATAAAATCAGAGACACTTTCCCCTCTTGGTTGGGAGTTCTTCCCCAATTAAAGATTTTCATTTTATGTTTTAATGGGTTCTATGGTGCAATCAATGGTCCAGAGTCAGATCTCTTGTTTCCCAAACTTCACATTGTTGACCTTTCTCACAATGAATTTGAGGGGACTTTGCCAATGGAGTACTTTAAGAGATGGAATGTCATGACAAATCTTGATGAGGGGAACACAACATACTTGCAAGCAAATTCCACTTTCTTGCTGAATAATTCTACCGTGCCTTCTCATGTTCTTTACACAATTACAATAACAAACAAAGGGAAGAAGATGGAATACCCAAAGATCTTTGGGATTTTCACGGCCATTGATCTCTCTTGTAACAAATTCGAAGGAGAGATCCCAGAAGTGGTAGGAAATTTAACAAGACTTCAGCTTCTCAACCTCTCCAACAACATGCTTACTGGTCCAATCCCACCAGCCTTGGGATTTTTGACAAACCTTGAAGCACTAGACCTTTCTCATAACAAGCTCACTGGAAGAATTCCTTGGCAACTAACGCATCTCAATTTCCTTGAAGTCTTCCGTGTGACTGATAACAATTTGACAGGACCTATCCCAAAAGGCCAACAATTTGATACATTTGAAAGTAGCTCATTTGATGGGAATGCAGGACTTTGTGGAATGACACTGTCAAAGAAATGTGATCACTCGGAGTCCAAGGCTTTGCCTCCATCTTCAACCTCAGAAGAAGACTCTGGATTCCTAGCTGAGTTTGGTTGGAAAATAGTGTTGTTAGGTTATGGATGTGGATTTGTTGTTGGTGTGGTCATTGAGATCACTGTTTTCACAAGAAAACCTAAATGATTTATGAAGACCCTTTGAATCAAACAGCCAAGAAGGCAAACGAGGGGCCATGAAAGATCAAACAAGAGGATAAATTGAAGATTAATATCTCCATCTATTAGTGCACTAGAGTGTTTCTTTGTATGTTTCTTTTTCCTATTTTTCCCTATATTTTATGGATTGCAAGTCAAGTTTAGTATAAGAATAATGTATGATATGTAATATAATTTTAATTTGCATGAATAAATTAGACTGCTACTTCGGTAGTTGATTTCCTTTTAAAAAAATTTTACTTCTAATATTGAACTTAATTCTTGTATATCATTTAACTACAAAAATAAATGCAATTTATCATTAAAAGAAATGCAAAGTGAGAGATATATTTGAAATTTGGATGTTGAAAAGGTAACAAAATGTAGAGAGGATAAAAGAGTGGTAAGGAGAAAATGTCATTAGAAGGTCCTTCAACTTTGGACCTAATGTTATTCTATTAACCAAACTTCTAAACTTAGCATTTTTTCCCCAACTTGCTTATTTTTTAGTCCCTCATTGTAAACATATTTCTCTTGCCCTTCACGTTGAGGTCCAACTGTTTTGGTGGGAAATACTGATTCCACGTCTTCAAGAGAGGGAACAAATTTGGAGATAAAATATTTAGAGTTTTCATAGGCAGATTCCAATATCAAATTTTCTGTGGGATTTAAAAATTCGAGTGATTCATGCAAATTTAATCAATGATTAGTAAGTGATTCTTGTGTGTTGCTTGATTAATTTGCTAAAATCAAAAAAAGTGATTTTTGGGTGAAGAAACAATGTCTCGATTATTAAGGTTTCTAGTAGATTTGGGGTCAAAGCCATCAAAAGCTTTCCACCATTATCATTTTTTAGGCACAGGCAGATTCAATTTGCCATTTGGATAGTGTCATCCTGGTATGCTCTTAGACTTTCAAAACTCTCAAAGTTTCTATCTTCACTGTACATGTTTGAGATAAAATGCATTAGCTCAAAGATTGACCTATGAAAACAATGGAAGACAACATGAAATGAACTAAGCTTTCTCTGTCATGTGGGCTCAGATTTTTCATTCATTCATATTTTGAAATACAATCTTCATTTTCACGGAAATACATCAACTGGTGTTTTCCCACCTTACCATTAACTACATGATGACTCCATTTTCACAAAAATACATTAATTGGTGTTGTACCACCTTACCGTTATTAGAGTGAAATACACAATGACTCCATTTTCACAGAAATACATTAATTAGTGCTCTACCACCTTACCATTGACTAATCTCGCAATCTTTAACATCATTGTGGTAGGACAAGTTAGGGGAAGACATCTACGGCTTCCTATACAATGAATCGATGACCATGATCTATCACCTAACCATTGACTAAAATCACAATCTCCAACATATCATTATGGTAGGATAAGGGAGGGAGAAACAAATATACTTCTATGTCACTAATCATTTATTTGATTTTAGCCTTCCATGTTGATCAGGTACATCCACTTTCAAGGCATTTTCTTCTATCTTTTTGGACAGAGATCATCTTCCTATCTAGACTAGGTTGAAAATTGGTATCATACAAGTCACATTGCTTCCTTCCCCTAAGTTATAGCGTTTATGGATGCTAATAGAGTATGTACAAAGATAATTTTGTGGAGATTTTCAACTTCTATGTTTGAATTCAATGCCCATTTCTTGAGTATATGAGCTCAGTTTTTTTCATTCATTCACAATTTGAAATAAATTGATGAGTTACATTATAAGGCAACTAATTGGCCAGTTACTAATATCACCAAAAGTAATCTCACAATCTTTATCCTTGTGGGAGGATTAAGTTAGGGAGACACAGATAGGATTAGAAATTAGAAAGGAGAATAATAGAACCAGAAGGGAGAATTCGAGGGAAGAAGAAGAACCGAGGAGGGAAAAAGCAGACCTGAGAGAGATGGAAAGAGGGCAATTCTGCATTCATCAGCAATGCCTCACAATTATAAGAGAATATCCCTTATTAATTTGCTAACTAATCCCTGCTTAAGAGACTAACCATGAACTACATAGACATGTCAACAACAACAACCTAATTTGGCAGCTAATTACCAATGAATTGCCTAAAGTCATCCACATTAGCAACTCCATGTCAACAAGCCTGAGCTTCACTATCTTGGACTATATCAGAAACATAATTTATGTGGCAACTATTATTGATTTCAGGCTTCCCATGTCGAGAAGGTATATAGATATTTTCAAGGCATCTAGGTTGAACTGGAATTGAACAATCATGATCCTCTTTAACATTTAGTAGTAAAGTTACATATTCCCTAAGTTATAAGGTTTGTTGTAGAAGGTGATAGTACGCTTAAAAAACTTGTATGTCAAACATGTGGGTTGAAATCAATGTCAATTTCTTGGAAGATAGTAGAAAATAAGTCACTAAGGACCAAGCTTTTACTTTCTTCCTTAGCACATATATAAACTGAATATAATTGTCTATAAAAGCTCTTCAGTTTCATTAATTTGTACGAGTTCAAAACCAACATATCCAAACAAATCATGGCTTCCTCCTCCACTCACTTCTTTCTTTTAAGCTTGGTTTTCTTGATGATCTCCTTTCAACTAACCTCACATTAGTAATTGTGTCGTGAGGATGAGTATCTTGCTCTAATGCAATTCAAAGACAGCTTTGTCATTGAAAGGCAAGCATCTACTTGTCCTAGAGTTGATCTTTGGAAATCTCAAGGGGTTGATTGTTGCTCATGGGAGGACACATGGTGTGACCAGAACACTTCCTATGTCATAGGCCTTGATCTTAGTGTGGCGAGTGTATCAGTCACTTCATTTGCTTCCCTATAGACATTCTGGGCAGTCACAAGTTCAAACTCCTAGATCAACAATCTACAAGAGAGGAGACAACTAAAGTTTTATGAGACTTTTGAGCAACATAGACATCATTCAAAAAGTAAACAACAAGGAGTGAGGCTACCTTAATTTCAATATGCTTGAATCCTAAGCTCATGCCTATTTTTTATATGATTGTATCTTTATATTTTAGGTTTTTACATAAATTAATATATATTTATACATTTATATTATAATATTATTGTAAACTTACAATATCATATCTTATGTTTGTTGGGAGAAATTAAGAGAAATAGAACTCTCAAAAGCATAATAAAATGATGAAGTGAATAAATTTAATTGGTTACTTTCACACAACACAAATGTGTAATTTAAGCAAGCTTTGGATGCCTATTACAAGAATTCTTCTTTTATTTTAGGTTAAAACCCCTTTTTGGTTCCTCAACTATTGTACGGACCCCCGATTTGGTCCCTGAACTCAAAAAATCCCTGATTTGGTCCCTAATGTTTACCATTTTTACCCCGATTTGGTCC